GACTGCGAAGATGACTGTCTTCTGGGATGTTGCGCCGGCGTTTTGGCACCCTTGTTTGCTATTTACGTTAATAGAAATCGGACTTGATTAGGCATAATACAATTCGCAGTGTGTAGACCATAGAACGCGTGCTAGTTTATTTGTTGATTTTAATTCGTCAAGTGTAGTTGAGGTGATTCGAACTGAATACAGTTTAATCGCAAATTAAAAAAAATGAAGTTCATTAATAACTTGAATTTTGTACAGTTTTTGATAGAAATAATTTTTCCTCACTTTCCTTAGACAGTACTCGTACTGAGGTTATTCATTTCCAAGAAAGTAATTTCCATTACAAAGAAAAATAATTGTCCGGAAAATAAAACGTTCACTTAACCACTTCAACTTCCTTGGCAATTTACTTCAATCATTTCTTCAAGAAGTTGTCTGTGGTTGAAAGCAGGAGAATAAATAGAATTGATGAACAACGTTCGTAGTGTGTTCATTCGCCACTTATTTGGAACAGAACCCTGAAAATAATTTTTCTGATTCGATCTTACAAATACATACCTAATTGTTTTTCAAAGGAAATTTCGTCATACTGAATTTATATTTTCCTACTTTTATAAGAATGTTGTCTTGATTATTACAGTTACTGAATATCATTATCTTTAAGAACGTAAACATGAACAAGGTATTTTTAATCGACATTATCATTATGTACAAGTCTGGTTCATAGAAACCATATTAGGACGTGTCCTGCTGTGTTATCTGTTTTTTATTATTTAATTTATTATTATTATTATTAGAGCCGGATAGCTCACTCAATACAGAGACTCGACTAGGGGACCGGAATTCGTTTACAGACAGGGCAGGATTCTCATTTTTCGCATTTTGTCCAGACCGGTTATGGGCCCCACCTAGTTTCGAGTCCGGTAAATCCCGGGGTACAACCGGGGGTAAAGAGTCATGGAGATAGTATCCTTTTGGAACAATTGGTTTAAAATTTTCTTATTTTTTTATTGAGAATGTATTATCGGCCACTCTGTGGCTTGAATTACACATTTGAAAAGTTGTGTCTTACGGAATGGGCGACTAAAAATAAAGATTATTTTTATTTTCACCTGTCTTTTATTTTCCACTACTTAGCATTTACAAGAGAATATTCTCATGCATATTTTAAGAACCCTTCTGGTATTATTTATTATTAACTGTGCGTTTCTTTTCTGGACCCACTGGTTAAAGCCAGGAATTTATTATTTTAATTTAACTTTTCGTCTTGGCTATAGAGTTTGTGAAACAGTGAACAATGTCAAAGTAATATACACTGGGCTGTTTGGTCCCAAGTCACTAATCCAGCCAGAACTAGTGGTCACTCATATATGAACTCAGTTTTAAAGTTTAATTCACCCTCTAAGTGTCTTAAAAACGCGTCGTGTTTCGACAGATGCATCAAATTATTCTCCACAGGGATGATTAAGATGATATTTTCTTTACCCCCAGCAGTTGTGTAGTGCAACACATTTTACTCGCGACGTGCGCTTGTCGTTATTCAAGTTTCTTTCCGCAATCAAATGAAAATAACGAGTCAGCAGTTCATAAGCACGTACGAACTTCGTTTCCGTCATCCTTGCAAGACGTGACCTCATTCTAGTGGCTTGCAGATGCTGAATTTAAGGTCTTGAAACATTACTGCGGACGTGAAATGGAAAAGGTCGTCTCCAAAGATATGTTTTCCCGCAAATTAATCATACTACATAGCCACGTGCACCAAAACATTTAATTTATTCAAGCAGGATTACTGAGGCAGGCTTACAGTGTTTCTAAATTAATTTACGCGAATTATATACAATATTTTTATTTTCCGTCTATACACAAACTTAAAATAATGTTGTTTAAAATTATCTAAAATTATAACATTCTCAGTAGACACTGCATCTTGTTACATTTTTTGTATCGACGACATGTTTCAATGTGTATCACATCATCATCAGGTCTATCAATTTTAATATATTTTAAAAACTGTAGTACATTTTGCGTTGCGTTTATAAAAAACGAATTGTATAGTTACAGTATTTACTATTGTGTGAAGGTGTTCCTTGTTGTTGTTGTTGTTGTTGTTGTTGTTGTTGTTGTTGTTCTTCTTCTTCTTCTGTAATCCCTTTTTGAACTTTTTGCAGCCAGTTGGCTAAGGAATTATGTTTTGTTCTTGGTAATAGGCATAATTATTTTTATCCAAAACATTCAAGAAGAAAATGATGATCTTAAATATTTACCTGCATATACAGTAATTACAATGACGCGCACAAGTGGCAGATCTATGTTGTATCTCTACAAGAATGTTGCCTTGTTTATGGTTGTATCTGTACTGACGTAACGTAGTTATCGTTTCTCTCATTACGTAAACGCTTGTCTATCAAGTAGCTTTCCCGTGAAGGAATTTTATCATAAGCCAGTTGGATGCAGGCAAAGTATCAATTATTCAGCACACATCCTTTGCCTTAAATAAATAATAGGATCAATGATGAAACATAATTACTTTCACGTTTCACCTTTTGCTCTTGATGAATTAACCTCCGAGTAACATCGTCAGGATGGTAACAGAAGGTGGAAAATGAAGAGTCTTTTATTATAGCGCAGAACTGCGACTGAAGGATGTCTTCTTAGAATTAAAACTGTAGACTAGCCTGGTGTCTGAAATTACACAGATCTTGGATTTCATAAAGAAGTAATGGAACGTATTTTTGACTTTTTCTACGTTTTTACTTTGTCAGAGTTAGAATTTGCTGTTTGTAGAATCCGATAGTAAAGCTCTGGTCGTTTGAAATTCGACATGATAAAATGCAGATTGCTGCTTTGGAATGTATGATTCTGTATTTAGAATATTTTATTGTCTAATGAGGTTTCCACGTCGCCAGCATTAAAGGATTATAGTTGAGGTAAATATTCAGAGTAGTTGGAAGATACTCTTCTTGGTTTATCGGTCCACACGCGGATAATGAGTACCGTAGTGTAGAGGGAGGAATGAAATATCTACGTGAGGTTTAGTCTATAAATTTAAAAATGGGATCAGCGGATGAACAAACAAGAGACAAACTGAACAGAAGTTGAAAAATTTCAACTGGGAAAGCCATACATAGTGAGTAAAGGCAATTTACGAAGCGAGTGACTAAGGTAATTTGAAGGAAGGAGACTGCAGTGGCCGACAGTTATTGCACACGGGGGAAGAACCTGTGACAGTAATGATAAGGAAGAATAGACGAAGAAGTTGCCATGAATTTTGCTGTGTCATGGCAGACAGAGAAGATTAGTCATAACTGGAGAGACATTTTAAAATTAGATTTTATTGGAACTTTGAGTGACAATAATTGTGCATTATTTATATACTGAATGCAGTTTTTATTACGAGGTTTAGCATGTGGTAAATATATTATATGGCCGAGAGAGAGATAGAGAGATGGGGTTAAAATGAGACACTGTGGAAAATTGTAGAAAAATATATCATTGGCATTTTAAGATAAACTAGAGAGAATTTTAAATATTTTAATACAAAATAAAATATTGGGAAGACGGAAAGAAGTTTGAGGGAACAGCATAACTTGCTTTTGTGACATGTCAGCTTCATTGCCGCATAGTCTGTCTTCAACTTAGTAATCTTCTTACTTATGGTAAAGGTAGAGATTATTTGTGTTAAGAATTCGACAGATATCAGATTGCAGTTTTGTAGGCGGCATGAGTGTTCTTAGGAACCTTACATAATGTGGCAAAAGTTACAGGCACGGCAGTATTCAGTCGATATGTCTGGAATAGAGTTGGAGTGGTTTATTCATTATACCAATATAATGTCTGAGGTATAATACTATTTCATATAAACTTCGTTTTGACAGTTGACTTTACTGTGGTTTTCATCCGATCGGCTACTGTTTTACTGGCAGGTACTTTCATTTGGACATGAAAAATTTATGGACGTGGATTTGTCAAATTCGGTCACCGGTAAGTTTTAAATGTCATTCATGGAGCAGACAATTTCGTTGCGTATCAACATTAATATAAAATAAAAGTTAACACATCGAAAGAAGTTAATGTAGTTTAATTCACTAAATTTATATGACGTTAATATCCAACGAATTGATGTATGTTAAATAATAAACGATATTAAAAGAGTATTGACGCTCGTTAACTCATTAATCGCGTAACATCGTATTAATAATGCAGCGGATATCCATTAGCAGTGGACGTTTTGCTGAAAGTACATCACCTGTAATATACAGGAAAATATTGCATGAAATAAATTATAAATAATTTACTTGTTACATTTTACGTAGACTACTGAAGCCTTTATAAACTCTCCTATAAACCAAGTACTATTTAAAATATTCACATGCCGCCTCCAATGTTATGAAATGAACTCTAATTAACCCAGACTGTAGGGAACAAAGTTCTTGCATAGAATCTGAGAGTTTATTAACAGGTCAAGGAGATCACCGGCTTTAATTAAGCCTGAAGATATTCATTCGTTTTCGCACTTGGAACTCGTCCTGAGCTCACGATTTCACTCCACGCCCTCACATTGTATTTACATATCTATGTTAATATTATCCTCATATACAGAGTGTCCAAAAAGATTTATACGCATTGTAATACCGATTATTAACCTTGTGTGTGTACATCTTCTTAGGGAGTTTTAGATACTCGCAAGGCTTTTTCGGACTAAAATTTTGCGTTTACTTATCCTTATCAGCGAAATTTTTAGGTGTTGCATTTATCTGAGGAACAGACTGAATCGTAATATTATTTACGAGTTTCGGGGTAAGAAGAGATAGATGAAACAGCTGGAGATTGGGTAGGCCGTTAACCCATGTCGCAGAGGGTACAGAGGCGTTATTCCTCTCTCTCCATGAAGTCCTAGCAAATGTTTAACATGTAATAATATTTCAGAAGTTTTTAAATTGGAACAGACCATAGGGCCTGAAGAATAATAACGTGGGAGATAATTACAGTTTGTTTTAGTTAAAATTAAAGCCTTAAATTTTATTTTATATATTTTATTGTCCTTTATTTATCAGAATGTACACAATAAACATTTGAAATATCTTCGTGCCTCCACAAAAGCGATGTGATGTGAGAGCCTGAATTTTCATTGCTGGAAGAAAGATGGTTTGGATTGTAAGATTTGAGGTTTTCACAGCGGTGAGTATGAAGATTTCTGTCTTCTGGGTTGTTGCGCTGTGTAGTCTGGTCGATGTTAACCAACGTTTCAGAGGTCATACTGCTTCCGTCATCAGACATCGACCAGACTACACAGCTCAACAATCCAGAAGACAGAAATCTTCATGATTAGGATTACTTTGAGCAAAACAAAAAATGTTTACTACAGTGCAGTACAAGTATTTTCTAAATTCTATTTTATAAATTTACCGTGTCGAAGTATGCTTTAAATGTAACTTACAGAAGAAGAATTTTAGAACATCTATATTTTATCTACTAACAGTTTGTATGATGACATATTATTAAGAAATTTAGAACGTTTGATTTCAGTCGGAGTGTAACGCTACCAAGCACAAGAGCTTTCTCTACCACTTTGTTACTTAATAACATTATTTGAATGTTCGTCTGATATCTTCTGTTAACAATTCCTTTCTAGACGATTCCAAAATATAAGCTGAAAATATTCGTTTATTACAGTTATTACTACTAGATTTCTGGACTTGTAATATCATCTGGTATTCCGAAAAGAACAAAACTTTTCAGAAACTAGATGTTACCGTCCTATGGTAAAAGTTGGGGAGTCCCTACTAAACTGGGTCGTTTAGAAACAGCTAGCCTCCATAAGTGGACAACTACAGTCAAGCAGCTGATACTGTGTAAGTAGGATTTGAAGTTTTCACAGCGGTAAGTCTGAAGATGGCTGTCAGAGGTCCTTGCTGCCTCCATAATCAGGGCGATCGCCCCGATGATGGAAGCAGTCAGCATCTCTGAAACATCGGCAAACTTCCACCAGACTACACGGTACAACAACCCAGAAGACAGCCATCTTATAAAGCTATATAATCTCTTAAAATTAGGTTCTGTAAACTGTAGATAAGAAAACGATTTCCGATAAAAATTGTGAACACATCCAAAGGTCGAAAGCGAAGACAGGAAGCCTGATCATGTGGGAGCAATCCCTCGCGATTAAATTACCACCGAAAGCAGATTAGATCATTGGTCTCAGACAAACTTGAAGTGTCTGCCGCCATGTAGGAAGGGCAAAGGTAGGGATCTGGCAAATGCTTAAAAATTGTTGCTATGCGTACATTTTCTAGTTTTTAAAAAAAATCATCTCGACTTTTGATAAATTCTGCTTATTTTCTTATACGTACCCGATATTCTGTTAGAAATCGCATGATACAAATCCAAGAATTGTAGCCACTCATGCATTTTCCGGTCCCACCTGTCGCACAGAGTATAATATCAGTAACACTGCTTTCTATCATGAAAGCTGATTTTATAAAAAAATGTCACGATTAACATTGCCACTTACTTTGTTTAATACATGCCGAAATCCCGTTTCTGAACTTCTCTTCCTCAAGCTTTCCTCCACGTTTTTCGATACTTTCTTTTACAAATTTAACAATTGCATCTTCATCCATTTTGCCATCTTTCATCTATACAAAATGGGGTAAAATATAAATATCAGAACTGAATTTTAGTTGTGGAGTATTACCACGATGAATGCTCTGTACATTCAAATATATTTCGTGTTTCTTTTAAGAATAAAGAGGGTTTAGAAATATGGTATTTAAGAGATATATGAAATTATAAAATAATATTGCTTTAATTGACATTTAATATATTTTATTTGGCTGTTTCCTGTAATATATTTATTTTGTCGTAGACGTGAACGCTTTCTACTTGAATACTAATAAGGATTAAAGTGCACTGTTGAGAAACAAGACCTTGTGCTTCTGGTAATATTGTAATGGACATGTACATACCACGTTTTCTACAGTCAAGATGCATTCAGCAAAACACTGGAAAGGAAAAGGAAAAAATGAACATTATTTTAGATTAGTCATATGAGAAATAGAGGAACCGAGATAATGTACCACAGTAAGAACTCCGCGATGTTTGCTTATGGCTTAAATTTTTTTCAAAATAAATGGTGATATTTATAACTGATGATTGTGGGAAGGATTTACAGAGAAGTTTACGTAAACGGAAACGACATTGATAGTTTTGATTTCCACTTATCGATTTCAGTGTGGGTCTCAGTGTAGAATATATATAAGCCGGAACGATCGATAATTATTGTCATTCTAGTGTAGGAAAACATTTCCATGTAAATTGTTTCGGAAGTATCTGAAATGCGAATTTTGAGCTAGCAGAGGTTGTGAGGCGATGGGGCTGTAGACAGTGTCCTTAATATATTCATTCAAAAAATAAATCTAACAGATGCGGTGATCTAAGGGGCCATACTGTTAGTCCGCCTGTTTTAACCGATCTCCCTAGCAAAAGATTTCTTCTTGATGCACTGTCTTGTTGAAAGAAGAATGATTAACTGAAAATTCGCATTTGAGATACTTGGGAATCAGTTGACATGCAAATGTTATGCAGTATTTAAAACGAGTTTGATTATCACTTGGACGTATCATCAGTGAGTCTCACATTTGAATCCGATAAATGGCGAGACGTTTGACAGTTCCTGGTCATGCTTCACAGATTTTATTATTACGCACATCTATTTTTAGAATTTGATTTTGTAAATTTAAAGAATATTTGTAAACACCCTGTACAATTTTTGTCGCCATTTCAGGGAGTGAGTGACAGTCATTGCAGCTCATTAGTACGTCAATTAGGTTGTTGTTTGTTGCATCTTACTTACCCGTCGCGATTCAACGGGCTCCTCCTTCGGGAGATCTGGTCTCTTCATAAATTCATCAAATTCTCCTGCATCAAAGAAAATATATTCAATTAATGTCTTGCATGACTGAAGGCTTCTCTGCCAACTCTAAAGAAGTACGGTAACAAGCACTACCAGGGTTTAGAAAAAAATTAGTGTTCTTTTTATTTAAAAACTTTTGGTAATTGTAGGATGATACGATTTTACGTTGTAATCACTATCAGTACTCCAATATAAATTATTCTTTATTTTTTCTTTCAAGTTTTCAAAACTTGATTTTAACCGAACATGGCGACTCAGCGGTTAGGACTTCTGTTCCCTATTAGAGAAATATCTGGTTAATATCTTGATCGAGAGACTGGCTTTCACGACTAAGATATCTAGTGGTTTTTCTTAGTTATTCCAGAATAATTCTGGTACAATACCTTAAAATAGGCAACGACCGCTTGCTTTCTTATCCCCATATCTCTTTCAGTTTATTGTTTATTAGATATATCGTTTGAGTCTGAGCTAATGATGGCGTTATTAAATAAATAAAATACATAGAAATAGCACATGTTACTTCTTCTTTACAGAGTGAAATCAAATTAGCGTATTTAATATAGTATGTATTGAACTTAAGCCGTTGGAGGTAATAGATCAAAACAGAATCATATAAAAGAACGACTCTACAGAACTCAACTTGATTTTCACTCACCGTCAGTGAGACCATATTCATGCTGACAGTTCTTTGCCTTGATGTTGAAATCCTCATCATTGTACTGAAACAAATAAATGTACATTGTAGTTTTCGGATTCTTAGTCTAATATTTACTCTGTTTTTGATGTTTTGTTATTATACTCACCTTTCCAGTGCTCTTTATGTCCGTAATATTTACTCTGTTTTTGATGTTTCGTTATTACACTCACCTTTCCAGTGCTCTTTATGTCCTTCATGTGGAAAGACATGTAAGGCCAAAGCCACATGTTAGTCCGTTTTGTGAAGATAACATTAGTAGTCATTCCAGCGTCTTACATTAAAAGTGCGAATAAATTTAATTCTCTCGAGTGTTTGTTTCTTCAGTTCTAAGAACTACCTAGTTTATTACAGCTTGTCGCCTGAGTTTCAGGGCAGAAAATGACTTTATTTAATTTTTTAAAAAATCTTGCCATTCCATTGTTGAAATACATTAAAAGATTTAATACATTAAGTGACGTACGTGGTATTAATGGGAGATTGAAGAAATGTATACAAAATTTTGGGTTGGAAAACATGAAAGGAATAAACAACTTGGTAATTCTAGACCCAGATGGAGAATAACATTAAAATGGATCTTAAGATATAGTACAGGAGGGTTTGAATTGGATTAAACTGGCATACGACAAGGCCTAGTGGCAATCTCTTGTGAACACAGTAATAAATATTTAGGTTTTCATAAAGAAAGCGGAAAATTTTGTTTCATAGTTGATCGTCTGGTATCTGCTGAAGAAGATCTCTGCTTCGTGGAGTTAATAACCTATCAACTGACGTAAAATTAAAAGTAGCCCAAGTTGATGAATTAAACACATTTTTAGATTAGTGAAATAGATAAATAATTAATATAAAATGTTCAGAACTTAATATGCGTCCTTTTATTACGACGTATATTGTGTAAGGAATCTCATGATTTATCGTCGATTGCGGAGAGAAATAATAAATATGCATTTGGTATTTAGATGTATAATTTCTTTTAGTCAGAGTATAACTTAAAATAAGATACACGTTTTACGTTACACACACTGCACACGAGATGATTTTACGGAACTGTTACTGACAACTTCTGAGTCCTTGTAGTTTGAAATAAGCACGCTGTTGAAAGTTGAAATGCCTTGGAAGCAAAATTTTACTTACATCTGAACTCTGAGGAACAACTTTCGGCAAGCAGAATATTATTACGAATGTAACAAACGATGTCTTCAGCTCCATTTTATAGCAAACTTGTTTACAACTTGATATATAATGTATAATCGTCGTAAAGTATTTTTGTTTTATAATTTGCAGAGAATATTGGCTCTGTTGCTTATATTTGTTGGGTTTAATACAGTGAGTACATTTTCCGTCAACGTCCAGCCAAGGAATATTTGAAATGCACAATATATTTTGAAAACATTAAAATTAAGGTTACATAAACCAGTCGTGACAAATATTGTATGTGGTAACTCAGCCATGGCGAATATCCGTGCTCTACTGAAATAAAGCCAAACATACAAAGAATATTAGTGTTTCGTATGATGAATAGTTGTTTTATCAAGGTCAGCTTCATGTGGGAAATTACATGAATCAATTTAAGAGCTTGCTTTTAAATCACTGTGGGGAATAATTCAAAAGTTGTAACTTATGAACACATCCTCTTAAATGCCCAGGGTTGCACACGAAAGACAGCCAGGCAACAAAATAGGTCTAACGACTATAGAGAATAAGAGGTTGTAAAACGTTAGCTTCTGGGGATGAGCCGCATTGAGTGTTGACAATTATCCAACGTTTCGACAAGCACTGTAGGTGCCATCTTCAGAGTGAATATGTTGGTTAGGCGTTCTTGGAAGCCTTATATAGGGCAAGCAGGTTCTCTATGAACGTGTTGTATTTTTATAGGTTTCGCTACCCAAATTTCTTGGGTTTAAGTAAAAATTTGTTCTGCGCAACTGGCAGAAAATTTCAGGCCTTGG